AGGAGAATGTCAAATGGGTGTCAGACTTCGCGATTGCAATCGCGTTCACAATCACGAGTTGGGGGAGGCACCAGAATAAAGAGTTGTGTGTTATCAATCCGTATTGTTTGCTCTGGGTGCCACTTCCCACCAACCATTCTGGCGGGTTCCAGAAGTACGCCTCCCCCCCCGCGGTCGCGATCGCGATTGCAATTGCGAAGTCTGACACAAACCTCAGTTGGCGTTACACGTTGACGGCCGCCGTTGTGTGCGCATCTACGCATTGTTCACATTTCTTTGCTGGTGATGTATAGAAGCAGCTTCAAAACATGCAAGAAATGGGTGCACAACCATGCAAAATAAGTCCATCCGTTTAAAACTGTGCATGTGTCCTGCGCAGTCGTCAACGTGTCAAATCAGCGATTTGGTCGTCACTTATTCAACCCCTACAATCTGATAAGACTACCCTAACCATGTAGGAAAATTCAGTTATGTAATTCAGTCAGTAGTAATTCAGTTATGAATTGAATGCGGGCTCCACCTCTTCCATTTTATTGTTTCTGAGAGCAAAAGATATGGGAAGGATTGCAGTTAGAGTCAGCCGTGACGTGTTGGTCCATTTCAGCCGTACTACCCCGACACTACGTAACATTAGCGTGGGCTTTCCCAGTTGTGTAGGAGAGGATGAAAAGCTATGAAGAGACGCTTATGGTGATTTGAGTTAATCTTCCGTGATTCATTATGAACCATATTCGAAGAATTCCTCGAGAATATTCGCCTTGATGGCAATGGAGGGACCACATTCGCCAATTTTCGGGAATCGCACTATAAGCACTGTAGTCTTAACAGCACGCCTGGCGCAGGGCTTCACAATACCGACATCAACTGTGTTACCAGGTCTGCAATTATGACCAGCCTGGCTGCGGGATGCGGAGGATAGTCGCTAGGAGCTTAAAGGACGAATTCACGCTGAAAAGGCAACCCATTTCAAATTAAGTTAGCGGATGGTGAGTGGTACACGAAAGAAGGAAAAACCATGAGAAACGGCCCAGAACCCGAGAAATGGGACCCCTTCCTTGCCCGTTGATTTGAGCATTGATGCGACTCTCATCGCTGTGCCCTCTTCAACACTACGCTCTCTCACTATCTAATCACTCGCCACGTATAGACCTGCGGCGAGTGATCAGATGATCGGTGGGCGTGCACTGGCCCACCGCGCCAAGATTGAGCCTTAATAGGTCGCCGAGGTCAACTCCTTCGGTGCCAATTGCGCTTCAGTCCGCACCCTTAGGAGGTCCGCGGGTCCCTCAACTAGGTGAATTACTCCTTCTTCGACCTTCATTCTAATCGTGAATTCGTCCTTTAAGTTTGTAGACGACAAATGGTTAACAATAGTTAGGAATACAAGACTTCCTGTTACCCTACGTAGTTGCTCAAGGATCTAATTTCCAAAAGAGAGCGCAATGTTCTAAAACGTTCTAAAATGTCCAACCATGGGAGAGGGAGTCGTCTCAGAAGAGGCACGATGCAAAAAGTAGTTAGACTGATTTTCCTAAATAGTTCAGATGGAATCGTGTTCTAATTCGCAGGCGACGGAAGCGACAGAGGTGGTTGTGCTCGAAGAGGACGAGATTGCTGCGCGCACCACCGATGATCTAGCGTCGTCATTCTAGCTCCAGTGAGTCCCCTTTTGACGGTTTTTGAATTAGAATTGCTTTGAGGAAATGGCTGCTCAGTTCCCCAGCCAATTTTCTCCATTCTAAATGATACTCCTGGAGTTTTTTTTGGCAGTGAAAGGTGTTCGAGGGAACGTCGTAGTGGTCTGGACTGTAGCTCATCAAAATAGCAGACATCGATTACTAAGGCATGTGATGAACTAAATAACTAGCATAACCCTCGGTAAGGGCTCTTGGGGTTTAGCTGGGTTTGGGCTTCGTCTGTAACGAAATATTGTGAGTCTAGCAGTTGAGACGTCAATATGGCCATTGGTGACTGGGTAAGTTTGTGGTATCCAGGAGAGTGGTTCCCTTACGGAACTATGCATTACAATAAGCTCAATGAGCAGCTCTGCGATACTCTAATTCATGCTATCGATTAGCTCCTTCCCAACTTTTATATACGCAACCCTTTCTGATCTAGTTCATGTACGCGACTTGAGGAGCAACTTCGATAATCTATTCATTACCAGATATGCAACTGGATATCCAAAGGTGGCAAATTTTCTGTTTTGGCACTTGAAAGTTGAAGCGGAAGCAACTCGTAAAACCGATGAGGCTTTATCATCGGTACGTTTCTTTTTCTTCTTCTTGGACAAAAGATAGGTGGTAGACCGTTCGAAAGAGATGCTCTTTTGATGTTGATTTGAGGTGATGTGAATTAAAGCAACAGTCCAGGCAGGGTTTCAACCATTTGGTTTTCAAGTGGTGGAAACATGCCTCAGCCTGATTGGAGTTCATGGGAAATGTCACAAACTTCAAAACTTACCTCTGAAAGGCGTTGGAAGCAGTCGAAATCCTTCAAGAGGGGCGGATCCACCGATCCGTGGTGGGGCCGCCTCCAAGCAGCTGTGCAGAGCGCTTGCTCGACTAGCGGTCGTTGCGGGACCGCCGCGCTGTATGAGGTCGATTCCATAAGAACGCAATTGAAGCGCTTCAATTTCGATTGCTGGCAAATAGTTATGTATTTGCAAGCATGCATGGCTATTTGCCAGCAGTTGCAATTGGAGCGCATGTACTACGGGCAGGTTCGGACAACTCGTCCAACACACGTCTCCCTAAACGGCAGGGGGAGTCCCTGTCTAAGCCCCTGCCCGACGTTTTTTCTACTTTTTCTTTCTCCATTGACCAACTTCTCACCTGCAACGTCATTATAGGTGGTCCTTACCCGCGAATTCGTTCCTGGATTGTTGCTTTAAGTTTGCCATTTTTGTGCTATCTGTATCGCACCTATCATGTTGTCAAGAAAACTGCCGTTAGAATATTCTTTTGTCGTTCACGTAGGGACCGGGGTCAACCGTGCGTTGCGCAGTTTCAACGGCCACGTTGCGCAGTTTCGCCCGATTAGACACGTTCTCTCGCGCGAACATTCACACTCGCATGCTCGAGCCGTCTGTGTCTCCGCCCATACAGCGTGCGTTGAGGATCTCTCAACGTGCCGTTGCGAACTGCGCAACGCAGGGTTGACTCTGCTTGGACTGTCTAGGTGGGGGGGGTTAGTTGTCCGTGGGAAGTTTTTTGGGGGGTTTTGAAATGAGGGTCCGCGTTAGCTGGCAACCAGGTTTCGCAAATTTACGCTAGAGGACCGTCTCCCATGTAACCTCTTCAGCAATACTTTTGAAGAAATTCTGTTCAATTCACTATTCATTCTTCTTCTGAATTTCTGTAAAGGTTGAATGATATGTTAAGGTATACGAACGGTTACTCAGTCGTCTTATGCAGACTTTGCAACGTGGTACACCGGAGATGAAAAGGCAGGCGGAGAGTCTGAGGATGCAGAGGGTATGTTTCTTCCAAGTGCGTTGAATCACTATAAACTGCGAGTAAGCTGACCAAAGTTTTATGCGAGGCTTGGTATTCAATCGTATGTGTCGTCGCGTATCACGTGTATCACCTGTCGTCCCGTTGATCATCGAATTGCTCGAGCGGGCGCCAGCAACGTCTCCATTCGTCCCTGTCGCGTGCAAGAGTTGTCCAGTGGACCCTCCTCGCTCGAGGGACACGATGTCCTTCATTCCTTTCGTTCAGAGCTTTCGTGAAGAAGTCTGACCATCGGGCCGGCGGTCGTCCAGGTGTTCGTTTGACGTCCCGAGGGATCCAGTCGGTAACCGCTCTGGTCCAACGGTCATCGCAAAATCGCATGACGTGTCCGGCCCACCTTATCTTCGATTCCTTGGCGAAAACGGCAGCGTCCCTGATCTTCGATCGTTGGCGTAGTTCGGCAACTCCGGATTCCCCTCTGCACTTGCGTGTATAGGGTTACTCCTAGCATCGTCCTCTCGACAGCGCGTTGGATAACGCTGACCGCATGCTCGTCCTGCCTGCGCAGAGTCCAAGTCTCTGAGGCGTAGGTTAGGGCAGGAAGGACAGCGGAATCGAAGAGGTGGGCACGGAGCCGGATGTTCTTCGTCTTCTTCACTACTCCCTCGATGTTCTTGTACGCTCCCCAAGCCGCTCGTTTCCTCCTGCTCAGCTCTGGAGCTAGATCGTTCATCATATTGATTTCCCGACCTAGGTACACGTAGCTGGAGCATTCGGTGATGTTCGTTCCGTTGAGCGTGAATGGGGCATCAGGAACCAATCCGTTTCTCATAAACATCGTCTTCGTTAGGTTCAGCTGTAGACCAACCTTACCACAGGCGCAGTCGAAATCAGCCAGCATTCGCTCCGCTTGCTCGATGTTCGGCGTTATAAGAACGATGTCGTCAGCAAAACGAAGGTGGTGTAGTTGCCGGCCGTCGACCTTCACTCCCATGTCTTCCCATTCCAGTTGACGCATGACGTTCTCGAGAGCGGCGCTGAAGAGTTTGGGCGAGATGGTGTCGCCCTGTCGGACCCCTCTCTTGACGTCGATGATGACCTCCTTGTAGAATGGTGAGATCCTGGTCGTAAAGTTGCTGTAGAGCTCACGAAGAATCTTGATGTACTGAGTAGGGACGCCCTGGTTGCCCAAGGCTTCGATGACCGCTTCTGTCTCCACAGAGTCGAAGGCCTTCTTCAAGTCGATGAACGTGAGACAAAGCGGCATCTTGTACTCTCGTGAAACTTCAATGAGTCTTGTAACCGTGTGGATATGGTCGATCGTGCTGAACCCTCTTCGAAACCCTGCTTGCTCGCATGGCTGTCCTTCATCTAGTATTCTGCCGATCCTGTTAAGGATGACTCGAGTGAATAGCTTGTAGATTACAGACAGCAGGCAGATTGGGCGATAGTTGCCAATGTCGTCCAGGTCTCCCTTCTTGTACAGCAACACGGTCCTGCTGGTTTTCCACGGAGTGGGTACCTTGCATTCCGACAGGTAGCGCGTGAAGAGTCGAGCCAGAGTTTTGATGATAACTGGCGGCGCATTCTTCAGATGTTCCGGTTTGACCCTGTCGAGACCGGGTGCTGTACGATTCTTCACCGACTTGATGGCGTGTCGGACTTCGGAAGAGAGAACTGAGGGGACGACGTATCCATCCTGTTGCAGTTGATAAGTGGGCAGATGGACATGGCTATCGAAGAGATCCGAGTAGAAGTCGTGGATGACTTTCTCCATTGCCCTTCGGGATGCAGTAACTGTTCCATCCGGACGTCGGAGGCAGGTCATCTTGGTCTTGTAGCTGGCAAAGCTTCGGCGGGCATTGCGGATGCTCCTCCCAGCCTCTGCTGCTTCAGCTAATACTGCTGCTCTTCGCTCCTTGAGATCTTCCTTTATCGCCTCTCTGCATAGCTTCGCAAGCTCGGACGTGAGTCGGTGATTGCCTGCAGCTCGTGCGGCTCCACGCTGGCGTATCAGTTCGAGAGTTTCCGGAGACAGACGTCCCTTGGTGACTTTCAAACTCTCTGCCTTCCTGCCACAATCGTGAAGATGTTCAACGAGCCGATAGTACTCCTCGTCGATGTTTTCGATGACGGAATCCTCCCATAAGCTGACGAGGGAAGTGAAGTGATCCCAGTTGATGACTGTCCTGGGGCTTCGCTTCCTGAACTTTGAGGCTCTCTCAACACGCATCGAAAAGTGGAACTTTGCGCGGAGGAGACGATGGTCCGATCCCGTGTAGAACTTCGGAACAACAGCGACGTCGGTCAGGCAAAACCTTCGATTGAAGATGATGTGGTCTATCTCGTTATGGAACTGTCCATCAGGTGACTCCCAAGTCCAACGAAGGTGAGGGGGCTTTTGGAACTGTGAGTTACCATGGATGGTGTTGGTCGACATGATAAACTCCGACAGTCTCTCACCCTGCTCATTCCATTCCATTCCGTGAGTACCGATGTGAAGTTCTTCAGCCGTTCTTCTTGGGCCAATCTTAGCGTTGAAGTCGCCGACGATGACCTTGAAGAAGGTATGATCTTCCCTTGTAGAACTTCTCCAATTCCATATAGAATGCTTCGTGTTCTTCTCGTCGTAGCTGGATGTTGGTGCGTAGGCGACGAAGATTGTCAAAGCAGGAGTTGAACCACATCTTCTCAATCTCAAACGTCCGATTCGGGTCGTAAGGCTTTCGTACGAATCGATGTTTATGGCCAAGTGCGTGTTGACGAGGACACCCACACCGCCAACGCCTCTGCTGTCGCATGTTCCAAGGAACAGTTCTTCTCCAGTATCGAAAACGGCGTGTAGCGGGCGGTGCCTTCTCGTCTCGGTCAGTCCGATGACGTCGTACTTGATCTTCCTGGCCTGCATCATCAGATCTTCGATGTGAGCTTCGGATGCAAGCGTTCGTGCGTTGAAAGTACAGATCGCCATCTTAGTCCTTCTTCGTTTAGGCAGCCTATCCGGGCCCTGAGATTCTAGCAGCCTCTCCCGAGCGGTCCTACCCAACGCTGCCGTATTGGGGGCTCCCTCAGGTTCAGGGGAATGAGGCCCATCCATATTGCTGTTTTCGGCATATTGAAGGCACACGAGTAGCTTGCCAGGCTCTGTCGTGTGGGCTAGGATAGACCTCCAGGTAGTTAGCCACGCTATCCTGGAGCGGAACAAGGGGCTTATTTTTTGGAGGCGGCCCCGAATCGCCTCCCATGTACTTCCCAGTCACTTGAATGCAAGCTTTTGGCTGTGCCGACATGCAGGATACCAACCGCACACACACAGAGCGCACCACACACGCAAGCATGCATGGATGCGCCTGAGTGGAGACAGCTGGTATGAATCAACACAGCACTACAGAAACAGGGAGTCCATCCCCTGAATCCACCTGCGTCTCAGGGCAAGTACATGGTGGCTTTTGGTCCGCGATTTACCCCCTATCCGCCACCTGGGGTCGCGCCACGTAGCCTCGCCACCAACCGGCTCGAGATCTTTCAGTGAGAGAGGACCCTCAGTGAAAGAGATCCGTGGATTGCTAGCATTGGGAAATCTTCGTTTGCATCCTATTTTTTGAAACTTCTCTTATTTCATCTATTGATAACTTCGTATAATGTATGCTATACGAAGTTATTACGCTTCTACGTTAGTCGATTTCTTTATTCCATTTAGCAATTCGTCGAAGATCTCAAAATTCTGATGCAAAGAGGCGACAAATAAGCATAGTCGTCGCGATCTACGTCAAGCCGCTTTGTGCACATTGTTGAACAATGCTCGACATATGAAAGAGCTGCGTGGACTGCATCTACCACTTGATCCGAGTGTAAGGTGAGTAGAAGAGTTTGGCCAAATATCTTGGGAGAGTCGAGCTTTTTTATCAGTGGCACGCTGCTCACAGGAGGCCCGTCGGCTACCGACTGACTACTCTGGCTTGATGTTAGCATTTTTCTTCAAGGTATATAAAGGCGCACTCCAGGGCAAAGCTAATTGTTGCGCTCAAAAAAAATAGATGTGCGAACTTGTGAAAAATTCTGAAGCCAACCACCTCCATAACCTAAAAATATAGTCCTTCTATTCCGAGCTGTGGAGGCTCTTGAGAAGCAAGCAGCCTGATAAGGCGGCGGAGAGGAAATAGGCTTGTGACAAGAAAGCTGGAAACAAGCTAGAGCGGATTTCGCCCATCACGTCAATTCGTGGGCGGAATCTCGGGTGCTGGGTGAGGTCCATGTGCAACCTAAAGCTTCAGCGCTTTGCCTGGCAATTCCATGCTGCGAGGCCGGTGCGACCCGTATGCTTACTGATCCTTCTGCCTTTTTCGCGCTTGAACTCCACTCCACTGATCCGATTCTGGATTGTTTCCTACAGAACGTTAGAATTCTGTAAATTCCCTTGAAACACTCAAACTCGATCAAGGCAGTCAGAAGAGGATCAAGGGGTGTTCACAACATTTCCGTGAATTCCCCTGAGGGTCTAGAAGGGAAATTTTCCATTAATTACAGTTGTTTGCAACAGTATTGCAAGTTGCACTGCATCAGTAATGCATGGTAAATGAGTACGCTTTACGGTGAAAGCAAAGCAGCAAAAGCCTGTTTATCTTTTAATCAGACGCCGCGGCGCGACTGTGCGCATAATGTACACTGGTGTGCAAAACTTAAGGACGAGACAGATGAAGTATCATAACCTTTTGATAGCTTTGTGGACCGTTTAACGGTTCCTGTTAACTGCTTTCTTTAGTGCCCTGTGGCAGCTCTTTGTATGTGTGGTTAGGTTCCATAGAGTCATGTTACGCGCCAGTAACACGTCGTTGGAAAAGCTACGTTCGTCCCTAAGTTTTGCACACCAGTGTAGTACGGCGTCGTACGGCTTGTTTAGTTGGATACGTGATTAAATCACAACTGTTGCTCCACAAGGTTTTTTTTTTTTTCAGGCTAGCCGGTGTGATGCCAGACTCGGCTGTATTATTCAATAGTGCCATGATGCCTGTTAAATTGACTTTCAAGAACGATAACTGGTACGGACACCAATAAA